ATACTAAGCGTAGTTAGCATGATGGTGCCTTAAAAAAACTGTTTTAGTCGTGTCGACTTAGGGACCACTAAAATGTAGAAAATATAAAAATATGTAAATATAAAAATATTAAAAAAAACTTTAGATCAACATTCTTTTAGATGCACTAAAAATAAGAAAATAAAACTAATTTGCTTTCTTTTATAAAAACTTTGGTTGCTAAAATATGTATACAAAAAATAATAAATCTCATGAGCGACCAATGCAGTTAATAAAAACGGTTAGTTTTTTCTTGTTTGCAGTGTATTTAAAGGGTGAGGCTATAAAGTTTTTTTTTATATTTGTTTTTCGTTATTACAGTCGATTAACTTTATTTCAGAGGAAACGAAATTTGGGCAATCTAGCAAGTGTCTATTGTAAAATTTCGGAGGGGGTGGGTTGAAGTGGTGGACTTCCTCCAACAACTTAATATTAGGTGTCTAAATGTTATGCGCCCTATAGCCTGTTGGCTAAAACAAAACAAATAAATCAGTATCTATTGCTATTTTAGCGGTATATTTTCTTAATCGCTACTATATTTAAATATTACATTCAGCAAAAATTAGATTTTAAAGTTACTTCTCCAACCCCGCCTCCCTATTGATGCTCCCTAACGTCGCCTCTAATAACCAAAAATCAAATACAAACATTTTCGCGCCAAATAATCACATGGTGGGGTAGTAAAACTTAATTGTTTGTAACTAAATGAATTTATCGACAATGACATATTAACCTACCTATTTGTTGTCAGATTACCCTGCAACGTTAAGCTTTATCTACGTGGTCCGCCATATGTTATGTAGATTTGTAGCAGCTTAGAATTAAATTAAATTCTGACCTTTAGACACTTGGCAAGTCACCTATATACATCTAATTGTGTTTTTTTAGTAAATGTGTAAAGATTGTAAACTTTCCATTTTTTACTTTCTCGTATATACGAAGTATAGAGAAAGTCTTGTAATCGTGCAAAAAAATAAACCGGGAGTGATCTCCCCTAAACTTTCTCGATTTTTCTTATATAAAACAACAGGGGATGGGAACTCTGGATATAGACATGATTTTTAATACATTTAAAATACTTAAACTTTTTTTAAAATAGAATAAAATCTCGTAGAAAAAAGAATTGCACACCAAGTGAACGCCAAATTAAATGTGCATAATAGTGCGCAATATTATTAGTACTTTATAAATTTACATGCAGTTTTTGAGAAATCGGAAAAAGCCTAAATTAGTACTTCCTGTCAACGGAAATTACTCAAAATTTGACAGACGGTAGAGAATTAGATCTTTTACTTACATGTGAAATTGCATTTATCTATCTGAAATAGAACTCAAATTATAGGCTTTTGAAAAATTCAACGTAGAAAAAGTACCACTTCTGGTTATTGGAAATCGCTCAAAAGTGTATACGGATCTACGATTTTAATAAGATACTTATATATGAAATTTCATCAACCTAGCTGTAACGGTACTCAAGTTATCGTGTTTACACACAGACAGACAGACACACACACACACTTCAATTTTGACTTCAATTTCTTCGTCGTTCTTAATTGTTACTAGACTTACCCGTTATCCCTTGGATTACTGTGGGTTTCGGGGGTTATCCATAAATGACATCACATCTGTGACTTATCATCACAAAATAACCAGACCCCACATTCAAAAAGACGTTTTTTATTTTTTAAAAACACCGATTTCGGCTGAGCATGGGTCTGACCACACTATCCATTCTTATACTGAAGTCACATGTGACCTTTTAAAAGTTCTATTAATTTTAATGACACCGACTTTAAAATTTAGCCTTCATTCTCCAAAGCAAATTTTAAAATGCTTTTCTGGCATATCTAGCCCTGGCCACCTATAGCATGTGTATATAACGCGAAAACCTGCCATTTTGCTCGTCATAACCATTTTTAATAGTAATTCTAAGAAGGTCTCTGGAGTTTGGCCTAAAAATGGTCGGAAGTCATGCGTCCGGTCCGGACGCCATATTGTTGTTAGCAACCGACCACGCCTCCAAGTCAACGAGTAATCCTACTATATCTAGATCTAGAACCTAGATAGATAAATCCCATGCATTCTCGAATTAGATGATCATTGAAGCTAAACACAGATTTATATAAAATAATTAAGGCCCGAAATAGATTCTAGTTGTAGAATTTACATTAAGTCTAGATCTAGACACATTTATTGTTTGTTCTATTTTGTCCAGAGGAGGGAAGGGGTGGAAAGGACATTGATCGTACAGCTAAGGGAACTTCACCTACCCCTCCCTAACACTTACGAGAGAGAAGCCTGAAAAACAACATTTACATTAAATGATTTCCATATAGCCTTTAAAGTCATGATTTTGCCATAGTATGATGTTATAAACATTAGTGTAGTGTTCGCCTAATATTGCTTATCGTCTGTTTTTCTTTCGCTTAGTCGCATGTAGTTTTCGTTTATTTTCAATGCAATAACTTTGGTCAAATGGGAATTTAAATTACATGTTTAGCCGTAATGGTGTGTTATATAATATAATTGTATACTTCTTATTAGATTAGTTCGAACTAATCGATGTCAGTTAGAAGGTCGAAACACACCTGTCCCAAATAATTCATGATCGGGTTTTGTCAAAGTGGATAATAGAACTATTTCGAAGGAATGCGCATATAAAACGGGTATGGCGTGGTACCTACAATTTTTTTTTAGAACCACTGACTTAGAACTACATACTTTTTGTCCACAACTTTGTAAAGATATTTGCATATTTTGGGTCCCAAATTGAAGCTGGATCCCGTTTCAGTTATCGTAGTTAAGAAAGCATATAAAAATTGTAAAACACACCTGAAAATATTTTCAGTCCTGCTACTTCACCTGTCCTGGTAAATCCTGAATCGATACCACCCGCCTCTCTACACATGTTCTAACACCGAGCTTGTTAAAGGGGACAGTATCGCCCAGACTTATGGAGTGAAACAAAATAGTTCTTTTAAAAAAAATACTTTTAGACATACATAAGTCACATCTTTAAAGTGACAATGATGATTCTGCAATTTTAATACAGCATATATTTTAAGAGTCAAGCAAAAATGTTTCTAAAAATCAAATTTACTGAAATGTGTACATGTAAGTCCTACTATACATGTACGAGTAGCAGGACATTATTCGGTTCGGTCATTCACCTCTTCCCAACATTAATCCCTAGGTAAATTACTCATTTCTTTAACATAGTCCCAGGAAAATCATATATCCACTGTCATTTTAATTGGACAAGTATAATCCTAACACTAAATAAAACTAGGACTAGGGGCTTGCAAGTTATAGAATATAGTCGAGTACTACATAACCTAACCAGTGTCATTTATACAATCTTCAATCTAACTGTATTGTGCATATCTCATGGGCCCGCCATCATTAGAGCTTATATATAACGTTAATGGAATCCTCCCTAATTGAATAATAAATCCATAGGGCTTAGCTTGCTAGAGCATTTATAATCAAATTGAGCTTAACATTTTTTTAAAATTAAAAACAGTATATATATATATATATATATATATATATATATATATATATATATATATATATATATATATATATATTTATATTTATATTTATATATATATATATATATATATATATATATATATATATATATATATATATATTTATATGTATATATATAATATATAGACCTATATATAGGCCTATATACATATGTGTGTGCGTGTATCTGTGAGTGTAAACGAATACTAATTTATGTAGTCAAAACATATTTTAAATTGTCTATGTTGATATATGCCAAGATCATTTTTTTTAGGGCTTCACTAAACTACTATCAAATATTGGAGTGACCTTACTATGTGAGAATGCGCATCGGTACTGAGTTAGTAGGGAATAAGTTTGTTTAAACGCATATCCGATTATAGTATTGAGCTTTTTTAATGTTTTATATACAAGGTGGGTGACTCAATTAACTTTAATGCACTAAATGTATATCTTAACACTCGAGTAAGAAAATCTAGGTCGAATTACAAATCTCAAACTTTATCTGTCTGTTTAAGTGCATAATTGGAAAATCCAAATACATCTACTACGGTTCTTAATTCAATCTATTGAACAAACTACACAAGTAAATTAGTCTTGCAATAACAATGAACTAATTTAATTTTCGGGCTGTTCTTTAAGTTAAGGCGGACATCACTAGAGGGGTTTGCTCAAGACATATTTTAACTTACAAAAAGACCAGGGGTCTCCAAACTACGGCCCGCGGGGCCGGATGCGGCCCGCGATGTCCCCTCATCCGGCCCGCGGACATCTTTTTGTCCAAGGAAAAACCGTTTGTCGGTGATGGCTGAGGAACTTTTCCCAGAAAAATCAAAGACGTGCCTGGAAGAAACTGGCCCCCGAACTTAAAATTGATAGTTAATGCGGCCCTCGGTCTGAAAAGTTTGGAGACCCCTGAAATAGACCATCAAATTCAAAATAAAACTTATGTTCGCATGTGTTATAAGTGGGGTAATTCAGGATAGTAATAAAATAAATTTAAATTAAATTTTAAAAAAATATTTAACACTCAACTTTGCTGTTAATTAACGTTGCTTTTTAAAATTTTATAAACGATAAAAATATCGCAAATTTAGTAAGTTTATTTTCAGTTAATTAAAATAACTAGTTGTAAGAAAAAGATTGCTAAGGTTAAGGTATGATGTCATTTTTGGATGGTCGATTTAGCGTTTGATCCGTTGCGTTACGATGGCAAAAGGGAGTGGGGATGTGTTGATGTCTTCAATAGCGTGACATCATTTATGACTGCCAAATTCTCAAAAACAACAGAAATAAGTGCCAAGCTCTTACAAGAAAAATGTTATAATGTTGACTCTCTAGGTATAAATAAGACTATTTCCACTACTCCGTATTAGAATAAACAATATTTAAGATACAAAAAACAACTATAAAATAATTACAGGATGACGCCTATGATCACTACTGGACAAGCAAAGGAAAACTTAAGCCGCATTAAACCATTATCCCCAACACCTAACCGCTATCAATTCAACTTAAAGCGCAGGCTGCACTTGGTTCAAACGTGAACCATATAATCGAAACCTGACTACATTTCCAAAGTATGTAAACCACCATTTCTATTTTATTTCTTGCGATTATATTTTCGGTATATTTTGTACACACGAATGACAAACAAATTTAAATATATTTTTGTAGAGATAGCATATTAATTGAATTTACGTGTAATTTTTGTTTTAAATTTTGATTATAAACCATTGACAAGCTAATACACGAATCTTTGTAAAGAGGACAATTCACTAAGATGTTTGAAAACAAAAAAAAATATTCTGTGGAATAAATAATCATTATTCAAGTAAAGATAAATTTAGAACTATGCCAAACGCCTGAGTTTTATTGACATTTTTTCCAGACATTTTATCTAACTATGAGGGTACTGATCTTTTTGATTCTACTGACTGGGGCTTTGTGCAAGAGCATTTTACGTAGTCCCGACAAGTATGTGCTTGTGTTTTCTTTTCTTTTTCTTTTGAAAAAGAACCATAAACAATACCTGGGCTCAACTAAAGAGAAACGCCCAGAGTCTTGTAGAGGGGTGTAAAAGTTCCCTTTTCAAACCTTACGGTCTATAGGGCAAGTGAAGCAGAGTTCACTTGTTTCTGTGACCTCGGCATATGAAGAGATTGTAGAAGTTCCCCTTCCGAACCTGAAGGTCTATGGAGCAAGTGAGGTAGAGTTTACTTGTTTCTGTGACCTTGGCATATGATGAGATAGTGTGGTCAGCACTATGCCAAGACGCCTTTACTTTCCCTAACGTGAATCAGGTACCCATCAGAGTTGGGTGGACTCAGGGACGGTCAACTGACCTGATCTCGGATTCTAACTCGAGACTTACTGGGGGTTGTGGCTGCAGCCCATTGCTTACCTTAAGCTACAGAAGATAAAATTCAGACGATAGTTGTTAAAGGTCGGTTTTATTGAATGTAAGTAGCATTAAAATCAGTTTTAATTATTGAAAACAATATTTACAAATATATAAACGTAGTTGTTAACATTAATAGGCTAGTTTATGAATATTTGGTTTTTCTAGTCATGACTAATCACTGAATACACTGGGTATAGAATTAATTGGAGATTGAATGGTCTAGCGGTAGAGAGCTGGACTGCTCACCCGTAAGTCTCGATTTCGAATCCGGGTTCAAGTCAGTAGACCGTCCCTGAGTCCACCTAACTCTGGTGGGTACCTAACTAACGTTAGGGAAAGTAAAGGCGGCTGGGCCTATCTCTTTATATCCCGAGGTCACAAAAACTCTACTTCACTTGCTCTATAGACCGTCAGGTTTGAAAGGGAACTTTAATTTAAAGGCTTAATAGTAGCCTGAGTAATGGAACCATGTGGTTGTATGATAGAGCGTATGCTAGTCTCGAGTTCGAATCTCTGGCCAGAATCCACCCGTAGTTTAATCCACCGGTCACAGAAGGGTACCTGACACACGTTAGGGAAATTAATAAAAAAGTAAGGCGCCTGGGTATTGTGCTGACCACACCTTCATTTCATATGCCTGGGTCAAGAAACATAAACATATAAACAATTCCTCTGCCCTATGGATTTTTAGGTATGAAAATGGAACATTTTCAAATAGTGGGGTTGTTGCTAAAATAAATCAATTTGTAATTGTGCTATAGTGTAAGAATTTTACCATCTTTATACTAAAAAATGTGCGCTCTTTTTAAACGACGGTTTTGATAAATTATTGTGTACGTGCTGGCTCGCGCCGTAAGCATAGGCCGCTATTTAGTTGTTTTATTCTCTACTTTTCAGTAATTCATAATTTGTGAATTCGTCCCCCGCCCCCCCCCCCCCCCTGTCCCCCGTCCCCCACCCCGCTCCCATAAAAGCAACCGTCTGTGACGACAGTTGACAGACGACAATGAAAAGATCAGAACTTCTTACCTCTCCTTAGTTTCAAATCTTTTCAAATCTAAATTATCTGCCCCTTTTAGCCGTCACACTGTAAACATTCGGGGTGAACAACAGCTGTGGGTGGGGGTGGTAGCTATATGCCTAGAGAGCGGGGTAGGAACGGCTAAGCCCTTACGTTGTGGTGTCTCGTATGGTCCCCATTAGAGAATTAAATATATAGATTATTCATACAATACAGGTGCTCCCATTCCTTCTGTGATGATGGTTCATTTAATTGCTGTCAAGGTTACAAGTGTGGGTAAGCTATTCTTTTAAACATGATTTATTTTGAGTAAAAACAGTGGTTAAATAAATTAGAATATTTCTTTCATACTGAAATTAACTGGCTTTACCAAAAAAAAAACAAAAAAAAAACAAACTTAGTTGTGTATTGAAATATTAAAATGTAACTCAACAAATGCGTTTTATATACATGTTTCTTTACATATTTGTTGTGTGATCTAACTAGAATGTAATATTATTTTTATGATATTAATGGGTGTAATGAAAGAATCGGGCAAATGCTTTAGAAAAAATATCTAATCATAATTATTTTGTAAGTTAAAGCTGATAGTTACAGACGCTTAAGTAAGGTTGTTTTTAAACATGTTAATAATGAATTTTTTTATAAATTGCCAACGAAATGCAAGCTAAGAAATATAGTTAAAACAAATATTGATATTGCAGTCTTCTTGCTGAGATCTCTAATCGATTCTTATTGTTCACAGAGTTGGGGAACTGAAAGGGTATTGCATTCCAAAAAATACAGTCAATCAGGAAAAAAGGTCCGGTGCACTATCAATATCCCAAATATATCGTTGAATCGTCAGATTGTAAAGAAAAACCAAATAAAACTCAATTGTTTGAATAACGTAAAATTGAATGTTGATTGCCAATGTTCTTGTTTCACTTTACATTAGAGAAACTGTGTTTTCCAACTGTTGGTCGTTGTCTTAAAGTATAAGGTCATAAACTGGGACAAAACAGCGAGAGTGTGTTAATAAGGGTGTCCCAGCCGGGGGGTGCGGACCACACCCGGTGACACCATTTAGGGTTAGGATGGGGGGGGGGGGGGGAGCTGACAACAAGAGAAAAATGACTGTTGAACAATGACTGTGTCTATGTTGATATTGGAAATGGTCTGATGTCTTATTTAGTTCACTTTACCGTAAAGTGGTTATTTCAGTACACATTTGGTGGGGCGTTGGCCTTTAATGCTGTGTCAGTATACTAGTCGGACTAGATTTGCCACTTGCATAAGAACAATGGCCTTCATTTATCACTCAGTAAAGTAGAGATTAGCCACATTTAAAAATAATTTAAACATCTGTGCTCACCCATTTTTTAAAGCGATCGATTTTTAAAAGAGATGCGGGCTGTGTTATTTATTTCTCACACGTGTTATCAATCATTTAAACTAGCTCAGACCGCCTATTTAAACCTACACAGTACTTACCGAAGAATTAAACTCCAGTGTGAGCACATGACTAGGCCAATTACTTGACAAAAAAATGACCAATATGTATAAACAGATCTTAGCTTACAGAGTATCGACGGGTTTCTCATGCAACTTCACAGTTTAAAGTGTACTGTGGTCACTGTTTCTTTCAGGCATTTTTTTTCAGTACTATATATAACGATGCTAGAGGGATCTCCCCTAAACTTTCTCGAATATTCTTATATAACACTACGGGGGATGGCAACTCGGGATATAGACAATATTTTTAATCCATTTAAAAATACTTAAACTTTTTAAAATAGAATAGAATCTTGTAGAAAAAAGAATTGCACACTAAGTGAACGCCAAACAAAATGTGCATAATAGTGCGGAATATTATTAGTACTTTATAAATTTACATGCGTTTTTAGAAATCAGAGATAGCGTAACTTACTACTTCCGGTCAACGGAAATTACTCAAAAACTTGATAGAAGGCAGAAAATTATATCTTTAACTTATATGTGAAATTTCATTTATCTATCGGAAATAGTACTCACCGTATAGGCTTATGAAAAATTGAAAGTGAAATAGTTCTACTTCAAGTTATCGGAAATCGCTAAGAAGTTGATACGAATCTACAAAATTAATATAATACTTATACATGAAATTTCATCAACATAGCTGTAACGGTATCAAGTTATCGTGTTTACAGCCACACATACATACACACACACACATACACACACACACACATACACACACACAGACATACGGACAAGATTGCAAAATTATGTTTTTCCGACTCAGGGAGATGTAAATCGTCGACACTTGCAAAAATCTCTATTTTTATTTTCACGATTACAATACTTTTTCTATACTCTGTATAAATGAGAAAGTAAAAAGAAAATAAAATAATTTTAACAAAATTTACCGTTAAAGACATAGACAAGTTGCTTTCAATACAATCTTCTAAAATTTATTGAATAGGCCTATAACTGTGAAAACCTATCAGTTCATTTGTTTTCATTATGTTTTATACGCTACTATGTCTTTTACGTTCATAAGACGTGGAGTAACGTATAACAATGAAGCGTTGTTTAGTTTGAAGCGAAGCATAACTAAAATCTAAAAACAGATTTTCTGTAATAGTGTAAAATTGATTTTGTTATTAAATGCTGAATTATTTTTCATTGGGAGACGGAGGTTGTTTCAACGATTTCAATATCAAATTAACATAATTAGATTTGTTTTGGAAAGCTATGATACACGTCGCCTTTGGGCATGAACGCAAGAGAAGAACAATGATTAACAAGGCCAATATATAGTATTTTGAATTGCTACGCATAATATATCCGCAATTATCTAATCTTATTCTTTTGATGAAATATTCTTGGGGAGGTAGAATTAAAGTTTTGCAAAGGCAAAGCAGAAAATTCTTAATTTTAAATTGCTTATAATTTAGAGCTTCTGAAAAAAATTGAATATAACATACATAACACAAAGTTCAATCAAATTACTTTAAGGATGATCTACCGCATTTAAAAAAAATTATAAAACAATAAATCAGCCGGATCTAATTTATGATTAAAGGTGTGCAGCTTAGCATATCTAGCAAATACTCCCCATCATTTCAACACTACTGCGAATGACGTTAAGTGATTGTTTCCCTTAATAGATGTGGACAGTTGTTCTTGTTGATTTTCATACACCAGTGAGAGCTAAAACATTTGCTATGAAAAAAAAAAATTACCATACGCATTCTAAGTCTAACCCAAAAATAGATATCTGTCGGTAGGTGGGTGGGTCTGTGGTAAAATATTTAACTCGATCTTTACACATTGCTATTTCAGTTTGCTTCCCCTATCAGTTTAATTCCGATTATAACACTACACCTTTGATTCCTAATCTAATTTAATTTTCAATTAGCCGATCGATGTAAGATAACAATGTAGGGCTGTCAGACGACCGGTCAGGGAGATGGTGTTTACGACAGATGTGCACACATGTTTATGGTTATCACGGACGTACAGAGTGTGCGGATCAATGAGATTAAGAGTTAATTTTATAATGAAATATTGCATCCAAACAGCCTGGCTTTAAAACATGTTTAAGTCATGCACGGTTTCGATTCGAATATAAATGTTCTGAATGGAGATAGTAAAAGCTACTTTTAATATTTTAAAACTTAGATCATTACTTTGTATTATATATTTGTAAGTTGTAGAGGAGGGGGGAAACTAGAAAAAAATGTACTTTTTGTTTTTATTTAATAATATGAGCGTTCGTTTTTCATGTAAGATCATAAACACATTTAAGCGCCCCACTAGATTTATATTATATTTGACAAAAGAAAAGATTGTTGTTTGCTTATTTTAAGTTCATTTAAAAGCACTAAATTATGAATAACACCATAACAGTATAGAACCAGAGTTTTTAAAGTTAAGAGTGGACACTGAATACCAATAGTTTCATAATGACAAGTTTATTCATGGACTTTGCTAACGCCATTCGCGATGTTGTGTCACTGATCATTATCATACTGGGAATACTCGGCAACATCTTTAACATACTTGTGTTCAAGAAGCAAGGCTTCAAAGACTGTATCAATATTTCACTGACAGTACTATCTATAGAAGATGCATTGTCCCTGGTTTCCATGTCCATGGCTAATATTATGTTTAGTCCGTGGGTCGTCGAAGCTAATTTCCCGATTGTTGTTAGCAGTGTACATTCGTGGCTTCATTCGTGCCACAGAACTATTGTAGCTTGGTGTGTGGACTTGTTACGGCTTTTATTTCTTTTGAACGCTGCCTCAGTGTCACAGTTCCATTTAAAGTTAAACTGATATTAACACGAAACGTCTCTATTGCGGTCAACGTTTCATTTCCCTTACTTGTGGCTGTTTTCAACTTGGTCCCATTCTCGTCTGCGTTTTACTTTGACGAGGTTTTTTCTAACGAAAAAAATCGTACCATTTTGACTTTACTGACAAGAGATGATGAAACGTGGAAGTTATTCACAGCACTTTTCATGCCATTTGAAATCGGAATTATTTACTTCTCGTTACTGGTGATTTTTATTTTCAACATCATCATCGTTATTCAGATCAATAACATTTCAACTTGGAAAAAAAGACAGCTGGTCAAACAAATGCAAACAAATGACGTGTCAATGAAAGAGCTAAAAATGACGATAACTTTATTAGTCTGCTCTGCTTTGTACTGCGTATTTCTAATTCCGAAATCTATATATTTTCTTTTACCAAACGCTAAAGACGCGGACGGAACTACGGAATTCATTACTGCATTATATACCATGATGAAATTTTGTGAAACTTTAAGCTCAAGCCTAAACTGCATGGTGTATTTAATCATGAGTAGCAGGTACAGGAAGAGTTTTTGTAACTTGTTTAGCAAAGGAAACAAGACTAACAAGAGAAGACAAACGAAGATAAACATATGACTTAAAACATGATTCATGTAATAAATCAATACATACAGGCAGTTTTTTTAATCCGCCTTTTCAGTTTCACTTTTATTAACATCTTCTTTTTAAAGGCTTTTATTTAATTTGCTCAGTATGTTTGTATGAGTGTGTGGTTCCGCAAATCTTGTCTTCTTAATTTAACCAACGTTCCATTGTCTGACTGAGCACAGTGGTAGGTCTATAATGACACTGCAAGATTATTTAATTTCTAATAAATTTAGCTAGACATTAAAATTAATTATTTGTTCTTTAAAATATTAAATAACGAGCCTACCCGCAGCGTATCATACGCCGCTATTTAGTTGTTTTATTTTCTACTTTTCAGTAATTCATAATTTGTAAATTCGACAGTACCAATGCTGCCACTGAAAATATTTGCTTTAAAACACTAACCCCCCCCCCACTTTCCCCTAACCCCGACCCTACACCCCACCCCCGTGAATGCAGCCTCCTCTTAGTTATTTCTTAGTTACCTCCTGTAAGTTTAAAATCGAACTAAATTATCTGCCCCTAATAGAAACCCGGCTGTACGGCTCTTCGATTTGTAAACATTTAGCTTTGTAAAAATTTAGAGTGAACACCGCTCACCAGACAATGTTGGGGTGGGGTGGGGGGTGGTAGTGATAGTGATAGAGAGAAAGAGAGGGGACTGCAAGGAGGCGGTTGCAGCTTGTTTTCTAACTGATCCCAGAATAGAATTATATATATAGATTGTTAAAAAAGGGGAGACAACAAAATAACCTATTCAGAGGGCCATCACGAGTGATTTCTTTTCAGTTCACCGTTTTCTGGTTTCGTCAACCTCTAGTGTATTAAGGGCAGGTAACTCAATTTTGGAGATCACGATCTAATAGGCGGATTTAAAGCAAACAATTTTAGTCTTAAACTAGTTGTTGCGATTTTAATAGGGTTGAACCACTTGGTTCACTACCATGCGATAATATCAG